TGTAAAAATTTTAATTAAAACAATTACCTTTTCCTTTAAGGAGATAAACAGATATACAATATTGATGTAAATTAATGAGATAACCAAAAATACAGTATTGAAGTAAATACTTTAAAATATTAATATGTAAAAATTTTAATTAAAACAATTACCTTTTCCTTTAAGGAGATAAACACAAATTCAATATTGATGTAAATACTTTTTCTAGGAAATATTTCGAAATTTTGAAGCGAAATGGTATAATGACAAAAGACAGACAAACGGATCGGACCGATACCCTAAAATATTCAAAACAATGAGGTAAGCCATGTCGACTTAACCCAAATATTTATTTTTTAAAAAATATTGTTTTTTTTAAAGAATTTTTTTATAGATATGGTATGTATATTTTTATATTTTATATCAAAAATTTATCTTTGTATCTTTTTATAACGAATTTGAAGACAAAGAAAAGTTCAATTGTTGCCTATATTTCATAATGTTTTAATACATTTTTAATATATTTTTTTTCAAAATTTAAAATTTATTAGGAATTTAACAGGGCTTATTTAGATTAATGTTTAACGTTAAAATATCTATAAATTTTTATTATCATTTTATTAAGTTAGCCTATGACAGGGTTGGGCAGTATCGCGGATATTTGTATCTAATATCTTTTATTAAATTTTGGAAAGTATCTTGTATCCAGTATCTAAGATACATATTATTTAAAAGTATTTGTATCTTAACCAACTTTGTATTCAAAAAGATACAGATACTTTAAAAAATATTTGGTGAATTCCATATCAAATCAACCAAGGTTTCAACCCGACCCTTTTCAATTTTTTTTAAATTTTGCATACTGGTGGTATATACTATAACTAAGAAAAAAATGAAATTTTACCTCCCCAAAAGGCTTACCCGCTAAGATATGGGCGTTTAAAGCGCGGAAAAATGGTACATTTTTGACAAAAAGTGCCTCATTTATTTTCAAATATCTCGCGAAATAATTAAGTTAGAAAAATAATTTAAATTTTATTATGTAGCTTAATAATAGTTCTTTAATATGACATAAAAATAAATATGATATAAATTTGATGAATGTCCAAAACCGGATGTATAAAACCGGAAATGGCCATAGAAAAAAAAGGTATTTTTTTTTTTCGAAGATTTTTTTCTATAGATAGATATAACACTGCTTTATATTTGTGCCAAATCCTAGCCTGGGATAAAAAAGGGTCTAGGAGTTATGACTCTTTATTAGGCTTAAATTGATCAAAAATATCTTCATTTAATGAATACTTATGAAATAATGTTTTTTTTAAAATTATGTCTAAATGATAGGCCCTAACTTTTTTTTATTTTTAATTGTTAACATATTGTGAGTGAATAGATTTGCATTCTTACGACCCAAAAACTGTGTTTTAGCAGGTGGTCCAGGTACACATACCATGTGTATCTGCACACTACACCAAAATTTTAAGCTTATTTTAATAGGGGGAAAATTAAAACAGCTTACAAACAATAATGATCATTATAATTATCCTCCAATAAACGATTATAAACATTGTATTGCACAAAGTCTTTGCAATCCTGCCCAGCCTGGATGTTACTTCAATAAATGTAAATTTTGTCCTGGATCATCCCAAATAAAAGAAAGACTTATTATATTATTTGATACGAATTCAATAGATTATATATCATTTAAACAATGGTTGGTAGATAGAACTACGCTCGAAACGCTGACAAAATCAGCTTATGAATTCCTAGATTATTTAATTGAGAAATTAGACAATTTGATTCCACATTCATTTATAGCATCACAACAATCATTATTTCAAAACAATTTAAAATCTAATTTAAATGTTGGCGAATACTTAGTTATTGCTGACTTTTCGGAAAATTATGCATTTATAGTGCAAGACCATGCACAGGGATTTCATTGGACAAATAATCAGTCCACTATTCACCCTTTTATCATTTATTATCGTCAGGACAACACTATAAAACATATAAGTTTAGTGGTGATATCAGATTGCTTAAAGCACAATGCCTGTGCCTTTTATTTATTTCAAACTAAAATGATCTTATTTTTAAAAGAAAGATTTGATACATTGACCAAAATTTATTATTTTTCTGATTGGGGCCGTAATCCAATATAAAAATAAAAAAAATTTCATAAATCTCTATAATCATGAATGTGATTTTGGTATAAAGGCCGATTTTTTGCTACAGCTCATGGAATAAGTCCGTGCGACAGTTTAGGAGGTATTACAAAACGGCTAGCAGCTCGAGCTAGTTTGCAACTGCCATATCAAAACCATATTTTGACACCAATGGATTTATTCGACTTTGCAACAAATAATATACATGGAGTAAATTACATTTTTGTAAGCAATAATGAATACAATAATATGGAAAATCATCTAGAAAGCAGATTTTTGAGAGCATAAAAAGAATTCCGGGAACACAAAAATACCATGCTTATATTCCCCTTGATGAAAATAAAATTAAAGTCAAAATTTATACCAATTCTTTAGATAATTTAATATATGATATATTGTACATAATTATGAATTATTATATTATATGTAATTATGCATTTCAGAAAAATAAAGTTATAAATTGGTTTAGAATTATTTTGTCAAGTAATTTTCAGTCACAATATGTTAACAATTAAAAATAAAAAAAAGTTAGGGCCTATCATTTAGACATAATTTAAAAAAAAAATTATTTCATAAGTATTCATTAAATGAAGATATTTTTGATCAATTTAAGCCATATAAAGAGTCATAACTCCTAGACCCTTTTTCATCCCAGGCTAGGATTTGGCACAAATATAAAGCAGTGTTATATCTATCTACGGAAAAAAAATTTCGAAAAAAAAAATACCTTTTTTTTCTATGGCCATTTCCGGTTTTATACATCCGGTTTTGGACATTCATCAACTTTATATCATATTTATTTTTATGTCATATTAAAGAACTATTATTAAGCTACATAATAAAATAAAATTATTTTTCTAACTTAATTATTTCTCGAGATATTTGAAAATAAATGAGGCACATTTTGTCAAAAATGTACTATTTTTCCGCGCTTTAAACGCCCATATCTTAGCGAGTAAACCTTGTTGGGAGGTAAAATTTCATTTTTTTCTTAGTTATAGTTTATACTACCATTATGCAAAATTTAAGAAAAATTGAAGAGGGTCGGGTTGAGAATCGACTTTTTTTGGTTGATTTGATATGGAATTCACCATTTATATTAGTTAATTTAAATAGTATTAAAATTTAAATAGTATTAAAATTTAAATGAAAAATTTAACCAGAAGTTAGATATTTTAAGGTAATGTATGTTATACGACGTTGGTCGTCATATAGCAATTTGCTAACAATTAGAACTACCATATTTTTAATCGTTTTATATCCGTCTATTAAAGAAAATAGAATAATATGTTTATCTTCGTCTTCAGATGATTCTCCAACCAAAAAATATAACTATAAATTTAAATTAAGTATTTTAAATGGGAAATTTTTTCAAGTACTTCAACATGATCATAATAAAATTACTACAGAATCTAAAGAATGCCACAAATTTATAAGTGGTTCTGCGGACTCGTCATCAAATTTTGTCAAGCATTTAAAAGTATAATATATAATTATATAATAAATCACATTTATAATCATATTCATTATCATTTCATATATATATATGTTGCTAAATTTAAAAGTATTTTTAAATAAATTTTTATATTATTGATTGATAATGAAATTAAAATGATATATAAAAAATCTATGAAAAGAATAAGAAAACTAATATTGATAAAAAAGAGGTTGTTAATTTGAATACTAGGCCAAAATATAATCCAAATTGTTGGGGCACCATTTTTATATGATAGATAGTACTTAGCAGTGGCGTAGCTGGGAATTTTCCTTAGAGGGGGTCCATACATATAAAATCTAGGGGGAGAAGCCCCCCAGGTCCCCTTTAATGGGCCTTCGGCCCTTTTGCCCGGCCTTCGGCCGGGTTTATTTTATAACCATTTCTTCGATAATATATATTACATATATTTTTTAAATGCATCAATAATATGTTATTATAATTTAGTAGATTATTATCATTGACTTTTTAATAATACTATCCAGAATAATTTCAATAGTAAAATAATATCCTTCCACAAACATCAAAACCAGAAAAATATAAATATTAATGGTATTTATTTGATATAAAGTCACTTTTAAGTCTTTTTGAACGTATAATCTAAAAATAATTTTTGCTCTGGGAGGGGTCCAAACCCGAAAACCACCCCCGTAGCTACGCCACTGGTTATTTAATCCACCTTCCATAGGTATTTTTTTTAATTTTTACATATATGCTTAAAATATAATTTTCTTTATAAAATTAATTAAAAGAAATATTTATTAAATATAACACAATATTACCCTCCTCTGCCCCCGTTGAATGATTATTTAGCTTTGCTAATATGGTTAACAAACCAAATCGTCAAACATTGAACGATAAATTATTTGAAAAATTAATAATATTAAAAAACAATGCTGATTTATGATGCTGATATATTAATATACTAATTATATAATTATTGAAATAAATATCGCATTAAAATATATAATAAATTTGTTATTTTCTACAATTTATTTTCAAATTTTTTATAAATTTATATTATAGATAAGAAAATAAAGCTTTATACATTTTGATTTTGACTATTTAAAGTTTTTTAAAAAAAGTATCTTGTATCGTAGATACATTTTTTTTAAAAAAATACAAGTATCTAGTATCTTATATCTTATTGAAATTTTCCCAAAGTATCTAGTATCTTGTATCTTAAATACAAAATTTTATAAATTATCTGTATCTGTATCCGAATACAATTTTCTGAAAATTTGCCCAACCCTGGCCTATGACAATGACAAGTTTAAGTAATATAATAAGAACTTTGATCATTATGGTTTATACATGCGATAATTACATGCGATAATTTCTATTATTTATAAATATTCTAGTTCGTCATAGAGAATCTAAATTTAATCAATGATGTGAGTATAGCAGGAACAAATATCGGTATAGTCACATTTGCTAAAGAAGCTAAAACAAATTTATACATGGAGAATGGGATAGCATTAGACAAAATCAATCAAAAATTAATTAATTTAAAATACATGGGTAATTAAATATATATTTTATTTCTTTTCAAATATATTCATATTTCTAATTTAAAAGGATATAAAAAAAGCGCGAAAGACAAGGCACTTAAAGAAGCCTTGAAGATGCATTACCAATCTATGAGGCCATACTCGATTAAAATGGTTATAATTTTTAGTCCAAATGGTGCCAAAAATTCGAGTTCTATTACCGATTATAAAATATTGAATGATACATATAAAGATAAAGGTAATTTACTATTTTTTTTACACAATTTTTTGTTTGATTAAAGAAATCAAAATAGTCTAGATAGTTAGAAAATAATATTTAATAAAATTGATTGTTGAGGATAATTAATTGAATTAATATTTTATGGCACTCTCTTCCTTTAGGGCAGTTATCGATTTAAAGCACAATAATGAGTATATTGAGTTTTAAAGAAAATTAGGTTCAGAGGAACACCATTTAGGTTAAAATATTATATATCAATCCAAGAAATATTTATAGCTAATATTTTGTTTTTCCTTAGAACAAAGAATTTTTTCATATATAGCTTAATTCTATGCTTTAAGGATCTCATTAAAAAAAATTTTAATAAAAATAGATGTATATTTTAGTAAGTTAATGGAAATTATGATATATTCTGGCTAGAAAGTCATATTAGAATGGGAAGTATAAATTTTTGAAATTCTATTAAGCAATATTTGTTTAAATTTCCTAGCTTAATTTATTTTCCTTTATTTAAAATATTTATCTTTTAACTTGATAAAATATTAATAACTATCACAAAAGAAGATATACTAACTAAAAAAAAAATACTATTTATTTTAAAATTGAGGCGCTAATTATAAAATGTTATTAGCCAGTCCGTAATATTATAATTAAAATATAAAAAAATTTGAGATTTGATTTAGGCCATTCATTTCCAGACAAAACGTTTTTTCAAACTGTTACCAGCAATCAATTTTTTATTTCCAAAAAAATGTTAACTTCTCATATTAATTTTTTTTATATAATATAATATTTAAAAAAAACAATCTAGATCCCCATTTTTTTAATCGTAAATAGAAAACAAACTGGTTAGATTTTAATAACGATTAAATGGCGTTTTGAAATGTGGGTCAGGATTGTTTTTTATTAAAAAATTATATTATATAAAATAAAATTATTTATTATTTACTATAAACTTTTGATAACATATTATATCAGCAACTATTGAAATAAAGAGATTCTAGAAACTAACATTTTTTTGGAAATAAAAAAAAATTGCTGCTAACATCACCCAAAAACCGCTTTGAAAAAACATTCTGATAGTTGTTTTTTTAAATCATTAATAGCAAAATTTTATAAAAATATCTATATAGTATATATTAATTTTAGGATTCATTTTGAAATATTTTTTAGGTTTTCTTATTTGACAGTCAATATTTTGTTGAATAGATAATTTTGAATTAATTTTTAGTTCATTTTTAAAAAAAAGTATGAAATTTTAAACTATAGTATAATAGTAACTAATTGTATAAAAATGTATTGAAATATTAATTTTGAAAAATTGTTGCGTGTGTGTATCTTTGTAAAAGCAAGGTGGGCATATTCCCTTTGGAAAATTTTTGCTTGTTTCAAAGGCTAAAATTTATTCTAACATCCTCCAAATAAATGAATAATTTTTGTTTTATTTATAACTTATGCCAATATTTATTGTTCAATTTGTGCCTAGTAATATAATGACGAGTTTATAATTGTTATCTTTGTATGTATGCTCAAAAAACATTTTTGAAAATATATTTAAAATGAGTAACTCCCGGGATGCAGACAGGAATTAAAAAAATAGAATCGAATGCTTGTACACTGTGCTACCCATAAATTGTCTAGTTTTAAATGATGATACTAATATATTAATAAAATCATAACCTTTATGATACCATATAGTATTGTTAAACGGCCCGATTAAAGTTTATTATAACGGCCGGAGTAGAATTTTAGCCAAAATGATATTATGTAAGCCTCAAGATTTGACAAATAGAAGTCTAAATTTTTCTGCCATCTATGAGCAAAATCTTTAAGCTAATATATTATTATTTTGTCTAAAATCTTAAAATGCCCATTTAAAAAATAAACCTAAATTGGGGGGTTTCAACATTAATACTATATCATTTAAATGTACATACATTATTGAGGGGAATAGTATCATAAGATGAGAAAAACTGAAAAGTTTTAACATTAATAAAAACAATCACCTTAAAACATGAAAGAATTTATTCCTTACACGATGATCATTTAAATATGACGCTATATTTTCAGCTCAATATAATTATACATCAATAATGAAAGTATTGTCACATTTTTTGATAAAAAAAGATAGAAGTGAGGAAAGCTATTAATAATAAATCATGATTTTTTTATATGATATAAAATTGCAGAATATATTTTTGGATAAAGTCTATGAATAGTTTTAAATACTGGTTAATTATATATAAAAATTAATTTGAAATTTAAAATTAAAGCTGAATTTGGCCAAAGCGTGGGAATCAGATCCTTGTTTTAAAAAAAATGAGTTGATAATAAAAGAAAATTGATAAACTTTGCCTAAGTAAAATGTTTAAAAAGATAAATATGCTAAAATCATTTATCTATTTTCTTATATTGATAACATCTCTAATCAAATTGATGACCGAATTTAATTAAAAGTATAAAATACATTGCCATTTATAAAAATATATTTATAATAATATACTTTTATATAATATTTATTAATTGTGCCATTACTTTTATACATTTGCAATTATTTTTAAAATATGAATTGATCAGAAATGGAGTTCCTTTCCCAACAGTAATAAGTTATTAGTTTGATTAACCAAATATATTATATGAAGATTATGAGTATTATTTTACACGATCTTCACAATCAGTTAACTGTAGAGAATATCGAGAAGACCGTTTCCTTAGATATCGAGTAGCCTATGTGGAATCACTAATATAGACTGAGCATAGTAAATATTGGCATCAATAATAATTACTATGATCTATCTATGGCAAGGGTGATGATAATTGCAATGCCCCGAGACTAAGTTTAAATTAACTTTTAAAATTAAATTACCCTACCCGTTGGCATATTTTATAAATTATGCGTTAAATAAAATATGGAAACAATATTTAAATATTTCTTTTTAATAATGAAAGGAATAAAGTTAACGAACTACTCGTATTATCAAATACATTCAAAGAGCGTTTTCCACCCAAAAGGGATTTCCCATTAATTTAGGAATATTTTTTTGGAGTGGAATAGAAGCTAATTTAAATAAATTAATAATAGACCTAAACATCATTTCGCTAGGAAAAATCTATTTATACTAGCAACCTGTATACACTCAGCAGAAGAATCTTCTATATTCCTGGGTTAATACTGAATGTAAAAGAAAATCTTTATGTCTTACTACTCTCGACGTAATAATAATTATTAAAGACATTTATATAATAACTAAATTTGATTTCCATACATAATTAAAAATATTTAAAATATTATTAAATTTTATTGAAAATACAGGGTTTCCCATTTAAAAAAGGAAAAGTCCCAATCAAAAAAGGAAAAGTTTTAATCATAAAAGGAAAAGGATCAAAAAAGGAAAAGGATCAAAAAAGGAAAACGGTCAATCATAAAAGGAAAAGACCAAATCATAAAAGGAAAAGTGTCAATCAAAAAAGGAAAAGTCCCAAAGGTTTAGGAAAAAGTTCGATCAAAAAAGGAAAAGTGTCAAACAAAAAAGGAAAAGGTTCAATAAAAGGAAACGTGTCAAACAAAAAAGGAAAAGGTCTAGTCAAAAAAAGGAAAATTGTCTATCAAAAAAGGAAAATTCTAATTAAAAAAGGAAAATTGTTATTTTTTAAATTTTTTTCCTTGTCAATTTTTCTTAAATATTTATTTATTTTTATTAATCCTTCCTATTTTATTTCTAACTTTTTGCGATTTCTAATTTATTTTTCTTACTATCTTTTCTCAATTTAATTCTTTTGTCTTTTTAAAAACAATTTATTTTTTTCATCATAATAACAATATTTTGACTTTTTATGATATTTTCTATTTCTAACTTTTTAAATCTCTAAGTCATATCTTTTCTCAACCTTTTTTTCTTCTCATTTTTGATAATATTCTGTTTTGTAATTATTTTTAATTTTCGCTTAATTTTTATTTCTCAATGGCAGATAATAGAATTTTATAGATAGAATTTAAAAATCATAATATTTTATTAATTTATATATCGTTTGGTATTACAGTTCAAATTCATTTAATTTTATAATGTCGATTATAACCAAACGATTAATTTACTTCAGAAATTGTAATTAAATAATTTGATATGTAAAAATTCTAATAAAAAAATTGTCTGCCATTGAGAAATAAAAATTAAGTGAAAATTAAAAATAATTACAAAAAAAATTATCAAAAATTAGAAGAAAAAAAATCTATAAAGATCAGAAAAATAAAGATTAAAAAGAGATTAAAAAAGTTAGAAATATATGTAAAAGATAATAATATAAGGAGAATAAATCATAAAAAGTCAAAATATTGTTATGTATGATGAGAAAAAAAAAAGAATTGTTAAAAAAATGGAGTAGAGAAGTTAAGAAAAATAACAAGGAAAATTTATAAATTATTTTTAAAAAGAAAAATGAATTATCAAGAATGAGAAGAAAAATAAATTGAGAAAAGATAGTAGAAAAATAAAGATTAAAAATAACTCAAAGATATCGCAAAAAGTCAGAAAAAAATAAGAAGGAATAATAAAATAAATAAAAATTTAAGGAAAATTGACAAGAAAAAAAAATTATAATTTTTTTTAAAAATATTTTAAAATAACTATTTTCCTTTTTTGATTGGCACTTTTCCTTTTTGATTGGGACTTTCCTTTTTTGAATGGGATACCCTGTATATTAAGAATCATTATCAAAATATTAAAAGATATAAAAATAAAATTAAGGACTAATGCATGAACTAGTGTTGTTATAACGCCAAGTGTCGCGACCCCAATCCAAAATTCGGGTCATTTTTTTCTACCTCGACCAAATCCTGGGTCATTTTTTCGACTCCAACACAAAGTTTCGGACTTATTTTTATCTCGACTTGAGTCGAAGTCGAAAAAACTACCTCGATTCAAAATCTGGTTTTTTCGACTCCAACTCAAAATTCGGGTTGTTTCTTTACCTTATGTCGAAGAAGCTGTAAAAACGACCTCGACCCAAATCTTGGGTCGTCC